TTCCCATTTACCAAGAACTTGCGCTCCATACTTTCACTGACGACGCTAACGTGATGTGACGTATGGATCTCAATCACATTGTGTTGCCAGGACCCGCGCTGCTTTTGATAGGCTTGTAACGTTAGCTAGAGCTGCATTCCTCTCATATGATTGGTAGGTAAAATCAATTGACTAAAAAATATTAAACCGCATGCAAGTTCCCAAAACTTTTTTCTTTTTTTTTCTTTGCGTGTCGTGCCTTCACTGTCGCTCTTTGGCGCCCCCCAGGGGAGGCGCTCTTCACCTACAGTATTGAAAACCGCTGCTTTAAGACAAACCATGGGCATGTTCATAAGTCAACACCTTTGCTGTGTATTTTCTCCTTAAAACTGCAGTGAATCAAAGACATTTTGATATCGCTGGTGTTTCTGACGTCACAAACTACCTTGTAACAAATCCCGTCAATGTGTGATCGCCAACGAGTGGATCTCTGAGCTGCTGAGGAGGCGGGGTCTTATTTGCATATGCATAGAACTGCATATACTAAATGAGGCAAGGGTGTAGATTTACATTCAAGCTATTTTAAGGCATAAAGACACAAATTCAAAGAAAACACATTTAAATATGTAATGTTGGTGATCAAAGATGAGGATAAAATTATTGACTAGAGGGGGAATTTAATAAAAATATATACAATATGGAAAAATTGACTTCTTTTTGAGACTTAAAAAGGACCCATTTCTAAAATACTGAGAGAAACTGATTAAGTACTGTAATGTAAACAGTCAATGACTGTATCTATACTTGCCCCAAAACAGAATACCCCTGGTCTATTGGTCTTTTCTTTACTCTTTTTTTCCATATAATACATTATCTTGAAAAATATTAATAAAAATTAAGTATAAAAAAGAAAGTTAAAGAAAACAGTGTAAATTGATCTTGTCATTTAAATATTTTGTGCATCCCTGAAGCATGTGGACAATCATGACAATTTTTGAGGCTTGAAGATCAGAACGTACAGCATGTGCTCAAATCATCCACAGAAACACTCTTATTGCATTCAAAATGGAAATATTCCATCCACATTTTTCAGTGGCTGTTTCATATTTGAGTTCCTCTTCCTCTCTTTCCTTTCCTTTTCCGTCTCTTTAAACCTACAGGAGACTATTTTTTTGCCAGTTAAACGGAGCCGGTCTCCAGCTCCAGATAAAGCCGTATTGTCCCTGTGCATAAATTGCAGGCAGTTTAAAGGGCAGATTGTTGTGCTGCCGTCCCTGTGCGGCCGTGTTTGCTGCCACTGCAGTTTGGCGCTGAAACGCTGACTCAACACCAAAACCATACAAATGCAAATGAAGCATTCAAAGAGAATTTCCCCATAACGAGGCTGTAATGAGGCCTGCACACGCAATTAAATTCACTGAGAGTGCATGCAGTGCCACAATAACAGATTACGGCAAAGACAATGTTGCACACACAATATTCTCTGAGCTCCTTAAATCTCTTGTCATGTCTGTAATGGACAAGATCATAACCCTCATTTCTCTTTAAAGTGAATAATTACAGACTGAGGCTAATTAAATTAGTCAGGCTCAGCCACACTGCTTACATGGTCAAGAGAGAGTTTAACGTTGTGTGTGTCCCCATGCGAGTGTGTTTGCATGAGTGGTGTAGCTCTAAATTGTTTGTCTCTCTTCTTCACTAATGAAAATTCAGCAGAAGTCAATCAATAAACTGTGATTTAGGAGATCAATGTGGAAACAATACCATTCTCAAGTTGGGGTCGGGTACGCTAACACACACAGCTGTAAAATAACACACATCAGCCATTACCCACAATTCAGCTGTGTTCCGAAACCTAGTGATCTGTCAACATAGGCAGCATTTCAGGCTCAACATATGACTGTAACAACAGACAGTTTTAAAGGGATACTCCTCTTTTTTTGGGGGGGAGAAATAGGCTCATTTTACAACTCCCCCAGAGTTAAACAGTTGGGTTTTACCGTTTTCTAATCCATTCAGCTGATTTTCTGATATTTAGAAGAATATAAGTAACCAGACCGTTTCTGGTCTCATTGACTTCCATAGTAGAAAAAAATATATACACTCTCAGAAAAAAAGGTACAAAAGCTGTCACTGGGGCTGTACCTTTTCAAAAGGTACACTTTTGTACCCAAAGGCTGCATATTGGTACCTTAGTGGTACATATTAGCACCTAAAATGGACATATTAGCCCCTGAAATGTACACATTAACACTTCAAATGTACATTTTAGCACCTAAAATGTACATATTAGGACCTAAAATGTACATATTAGCAATTAAAAAGTACATATTAGCACCTAAAAATGTACTTTTAGCACCTAAAATGGACAAAAGTTTACCTTTTCAAAAGGTACAGCTTTTGTACTTTTTTTTTCTAAGAGTGTATATTTTTTTCTACTATGGCAGTCAATGGGAACAGAAACTGTCTGGTTACTGATATTCTTCTAAATATCTGAAAATCGGTTGAATGGATTCGAAAACGGTAAAAAACAACCGTTTAACTCTGGGGGAGTCGTAAAATGAGCCTATTTCCAAAAAAAGTGGAGTATCCCTTTAAAAGGTAGCTTCTGACAATGGCTCAGTCCAAAATGCAATCAGCTCTTTTAGCTGAATTTCTATTGCTGCCTTGAGTTGTTTTTCCTTTCATGGTTCTACGAGCGGTTAGTCTCACTTGCACATGTGGCTGTCAGTCATTTATTAGAAGTTAACTTATATAGTCAGTAGTCAGGTTTTGTAGCGGAGCTATTTACCGAGATTAGCGGCTCAGAAGAGGTTTGCTGCAGGGTCAGTTACAGAAATGATGGTTTGTAACAGTTCTTAAAGGAGTCATTCACACAACTTGTGCAGATGGTAAACTCACACACACACTTATTCTCTCACTCTCCATATGGTGTGGTCATGCATGCATCTGTCTGCTGGTCTCTATTGGTGTTTCTGTAAAAACAATTGATCTTGATTGGTTATTCATGGCGGTTTTTCATAATCGTTAACTGGAGTGCTCAGCAGTGCAGATGCTAAATTCATATCTAACACCCTGTTTAAGAAAGTGACCCTTTATTACGGTTTTAGCACAAGCATCTGGATCATGAAGGATTTCTTCACATTAAGAGATCCTGCAATTCTATTTTGTTTCTTCAGACTAATTTATCTCTTTTTATACACACCTTTATTCATTTGGCAGATGCTCTTATTCAAAGCGACTTGCAGAGTATTAAAGTTTTACATTTTAATCAGTATGTGTCTAACCCACGACTTTGACATACTGTATGCAAATCATCTACATGCCTGAAATACCCAAATCATTTCCTACACCAGCAAAAATGAGCCGTAATGGACAATTAGTTTTGACACGTTTTATTTCACCGGAATACTGGCATTCCGAAAATGCTTAAATATCGTACACTGGAATTTTCACTGGAATGTGCATTCAGCAAGGACACATTAAATTGGTCAATAGTGACAATAAAGACATTTATAATGTTGCAAAAGATTTCTATTTCAAATTAAGGGAGCTTTTGAACTTTCTATGCATCAAAAAAATGTATCATGTTCACTTTTTTTCCATGTAGTAACAATGCTGAAAATTTAGCTCTGATCAAATTCAACAAATTCAAATATAAAACTTTTTATTTTATATTGCAATAATATTTCACAATATTGCGTCACAAGAGACTGCATTGCTGTATTGAGACAGGTTGTTTTAAATGATATTAGTACTGTACAGTCAAACAGATATGGTAAATATGTGACAAACGTTGTGTGTGTTCATCACCAGCACAGTCTCAGATGGAAACGCCTCTATTGCGATATTCATCTCTGAATCCTAAAGACGCCTTGCTTAAGGAAATCCAAAAACCCTTTACTAAGTTGCAAAATGTTTTAAATTCACTTCTCGAAATTTAAGGCTAAACTCTTTTTAAACATGTATTAAGAAGTCTAGAAAACAATGTTGGGGAAGTTACTTTTAAAAAGTAGTGTAAAGGTCCTTTTACACTGGATGCGATTTCAGCTGTTTGTGTAATGAGTGCTTCCACACCGAACGCGAATCTGCTGCGGCGAAAAAACGACTTTTATTTTTTTTTCCGCTTCAATGTCGATTTTTTTTTACTTGTGTGGCGACAGAAAAGGCTTCAGCCAATCACATACAGGGAAACAAAGGTGACGTCACAGCAACAATGACGGACTTTCTGATTGCGTGTGTGTCGACAAACCCCGTTTTGCAGCTACTAGTGCTCTGCATCATTCAACCTCATGATTGCACCTACTGACGCTTGACAGAATACTTTAAAATGAGGTGAAAAAAAAGAAATAGTGCACAAGCAATTTTCAATATATTCAGAATCTGACCACAAAAATGACTAATACTAAAAAAAAAAAAACGAATTCTTATGCTCATTTGAGCTCTTTGATTTCCCTGATGATTCAGGAAAATCTTTCTAAAACAAATGTGTTAGATTTGCATCATTGCTGTATGTGTGCGCATGTTTACTTTGCTATAATTTGAGGGAAAATGTGTCTCTAGCCACCAGAAAAATTTAATCTGATAAAACCTTGTGGGACGTCCTCAATTGCAAAAACAAAAAATGAAATAAATGAGATATATTTTTTATAATTCAAAAATGCAACAAGTTGTATTAATTATAATTATCTTTATATAAGAACAAGTCTATGATACGTCTTAATTTAGCTATGTGTGTGTGTTTCTGACTCTCTGTATTGATTAATGTCTGGAGCAGAGATGAGGATCGATACAGTGAAATGGAGATTCCAGCAGAGGATTGGAGGGTTTTTTTTATGATTAATCTAGGTGTAGAGATACCACAGGTTAAAAAAAAAAAGAATAAGAAAGAGTGAGGAGTGTGAGAGAGAGAGAGAGAGATAGAGGCGAGACTCCAGGGTCAGGTGTATAAATGGATAAAAGCAACAGAGAAAATGGTTATGAAGAAGAAACACAAACAAGTGTCTGCTGAATGTCCTTACCTTGGTCTTGTGCTTTGTTGGGGTTCCAGGTTCTGAAGTAATCGTCCTACAGAAACACACAATGACAGCATTTAAAATACTCAGACAGACACAAGTCAAGCTTTAATACTACTTTCATGACCTTCAGAAAGAAGAAAATAGCTTTATGATTTAAGGGACGGTGTGAAAATAGAGATGATAACTTATTAAAACACGACTGGTCTGAAACTCAGATAAGTGTCCGGACAGATGTTTTTAATGGAGACCCCAGGTTTGATTCTCCTGTTCTAGGTCTCTTTTCATGTGGTATTTTTTTGGGTCTGAAGCGCAAGTCAGCGGCGGCTGGTTCTTTTCAGAAGCTGGGAGGCAGAGATTAAATTTATCAATGGTTAAATGAACACCCAGATCTATTTGATTATTTTGGTGTTTGCAATGTTGCTTACAAAATCTTCTCAAACAACCAATTACTTCACCAAGAACTACAGTTTTACAATACATACAAAGCTGCAAAAGTACAAGATAAAAGAATGCTAAACTAAACGCATTTATCTGTATCTGGAGCATGTTGTACTCGCACAGACTCTTTAAACATTAAGGTGCCGCACTGATATTCCTATGCTGATAATGCAGTTAAACTAAGCATTTTTCTCCTAAGGTTTTTTCGATCCATTTCTGTCACCAATGTCACATCTGGCTTGCTTAGTTGAGGACAGTATGGTTGGACTGGCCATCTGGAGCACTGGGAGTTTTAGCCGTGGGCCTCTTGACAATGTAGGCTGGCCGACTGCTATACGTATAAATATAAAGAATAAATAATAATAGAAGGCATTTACGTATTCCATCAGCCAAGGTGAACGCTCGCGTGGCCAACATGACTTTAAATTAGTAATCTAATTTAATCATTTTGAACAAATCGGCTGAATTATTAATGAATTAATCAATGACTCACTTGTCACCTACTGGCAGTTTTAGTTTAATATGTAAAATATCGTTTGATTTATTGTCTAAAACTTTAAAGTGCAGCATCAGTGCAAAAATGGATTGTCTGATTTTATTTGATTGGAAACAGTGCAATAATGTCTTATTATTATGATTGCATTTATTTATTTATTTTTAAATGTATTTATTTGAATAATCATAAAATAATTTATTTCAATCAAAAATTGTAAATATGATTTATATTTGTTTTTTGTTATATATTTTTTTATTGTAAAGTAGTGTTAAAAATTGCTCTGCACAAAATTAATCGTTGTGTTATGTTTGGTGCGTTTGTTGCGGACCGGGTACCGTGGACCGCTCTGTGCCAGAAAGTCCAGGGCCACTTCTTAAACCAAGTCCAATCTTGCTCAATATTCTGAAATATTATTGATTTAACTGTACTGACAATATTGGATGGAAACTGAAATGAGCTGGACGCTGACATCACTGTTTTCCCTAGAGCAGCTTTGTATCTGAATTGAACTAATTTCATGTTTGACAACCTTTACGCCATTATTGAACTGAACTGAATGAACACTGACCTCAACTGATCAATGACACGGTTTTATTTTTAGAGCTTTTTTAGAGTAGAATTGAACTCTGTTTGCATCATTGAATCCTTATTTTCCTGTAAAGCTGCTTTGAAACAAAGGTGACTTTTGCATTTTTCTGCTAGTTTTCTCTTAAACATTTGGGAATATGATGCATCTAAGACATGCATCAGCAAACATCATTTCATAAAGTCAAACAAAATTGTATTGATTCCACACATAGAAAATTACACACATTTGCCAAACACTGACTGCAATAAATGTTCATCTTTCCGACAGACGGCGAATCTCACACAACATTAGCGATGGCTGCTGCAATATTTATTTTGTTTTTGTATTACAGTGTGCAAAAAAAAGTTAATACAATGCTACAATATAAACGGTATAGCATGTTGGTATTATGCTGTTTTAAAGGTTCCTAATTTTGCTCTGAAGGTCTCCTATAACACACAACATTGACAGCGACTGCTGCTACATTTTAAGGGCTTTTCAAAATCCGATTGCAAACTCAGTCCAGACCCAAAGTGGAGCTGCTACAGGCCGGATAAACACATTTGACATCAAACTCTCATTAGGGGCTCTTTAGTTTAGTGCCGATTGATGTTTTAGTGTGAAATATGTGGTTAATTATAATTAAGAATGTCATTAAAAACATTAATTTATGCTAGAAGATGTTACATCTGTTGGCACGATGAACTTCTGATTGAAGACTGTTATCATTCTGGTGTAAACAACATTATAAGCTACAGCTCTCAGGCCATGAGCTAAAGCGAGACTCATTTTTCTCAAAGTTTACGGTGGTCTCAGCAAAACTAGGCTAAATGTGTCTGTGGGCTCATTGACCAAATCAAAGGGGAATTGTGGGAAAACTCACTTTACCCTGAGAAATTTACCCTCTGCAAATCTGTGTGATGAAGCAGAAGCTAGCAGACCTTCTCTAACCTGCAAACTCTCACAATGAAATATCGCTGTAGTAACATTCATCCACACAGCAGCAAAACTTCTCTCGGTGGATATTATGACCTTTGCGAGTTTGTTTTTGAATGAATGCTTCGGGTTTAATGCAAGTTAAGGTCAAAGCAGCTTGTAAAAGTGAACAAAAATGTGTGATTAACTTACAATGCAAGTCTTAAGACAAGACATTGAAATTCACACGTAAAAAAAAAAAGTCACGGTTATAAAAATACCCGTGTCCGTGTGGACAAGGCCTCAGATAATCGACAATTGCTTTAGCATCGAATCGCAGCCCTCTGAATCGTAATCGAATAGAATCGCGAGGTGATTAGAGATTCCCACCCCTAGTATTTATACCCTCAGTCTTCATCTGTTCTTGGTCTTGTGTTAACGTTTTTTGCTGATAGGTATCTCTGTTTGGTTACTACTGTAGTTTATTAAATGTTATTTCATAATTCGTCTGCGTAAAGCCTTATTGTTATGGATTATCAAGCCAAGCCAGCGTGTGACAAGTGGCAAATATCAACCCGTAATGAAAAAGTTCATTTCCGTCACTGCTGGGAACTGACCACTCCACAAATTAAGAATATGAAAAGCTTGTTAAAATCAGGTCTAAACCAATCAAGGTACCAGCACAAAAACACACTCAGCTAAATATAATCAACATTATGGACAAATCACAGAAAATATATATATTTTTGAAAGTATAGCCACAAAACAAACATTTAGGGCTGTATTCAACCAAAGAAATCCTTAGGTCGACCAAAGTCGAGTCCTGCACAACGATTAGTCGACTAAAAAAAAACAAAAAAAACAAAACAAAAAAAACCGTGATGTTTTGATTAAACATTTTTTAAACAATTGTCATTGAGCATTTATAAAACAACAACGAAAAACATCACAAATAAATAAAACTATAATAATAATACAATTCTTTAAAAATTAAGTGATTTTTTAACTGCAAAAAGTGAAGAGCTCTGTCCTCGGTCTATAGTAACAGTCGCACCTGACCAGACCACACGCTGCAAAATATAACTGCTATGCCACATAATGAAAAATCCCAACAAAAGCTCTCGTTTATACAGGCTTTATATTCTTCTTTACTTTCAAAGCTATGGGTTAACTTTCGTCCTGACAATCAAGGCGTTTTAAACAACACACAAAAAACCCAAATAACTTAAAAACAATCCTAATAATAGGCTGTAGGACCGCGTATAAGTTTATTTGTGTTTTGTTGCATTATTTAGGCTATTTTCAAATGCATCAAGTGTACAAATAAAAACGAAAACATTAAGAAAACACAATCTATTGAGTCAGCATGATATAGCCGTTAAAAGGCTGCTCACGTCTTTTGCGCGCTCAAGTTCGATTTCAAATGTAGGCGCGCGACTTGCGCGCTCATAATGGAGCAACGCGATCGCCTCCCTCCACAGTCTTGTCATCTTTGTTTTAAAATGCAGCCAGACAAAAGATTTAGATTTCCTGGACATTTTGTCGACTAAAGCCAAAACAAGCAGCGTTCTAACTGAATGAATACAGCATCCCTTACCGAGCGCGAGCTGCAGCGCAGCCAGCCACAGGTGCGGTTCCCGAGTGTATTATGTGTGTGCGCTAAACTGTGGCGCAGTTACAAAAATAGCCTAAATTAAAGCATTTTAAAGTTGGGGACAAAACATAGGCTAATTATATTTAGAATACAGTAATAAATAACTGCTTATAAATGAATAAATATCAAGGAGTAAATCATTGAAAAATTCTTTCTATTGGTTAAAAAAAAAAAAAAAAAAAAAAAAATGCAACTGGTCGACCAATAAGAATGTCAGTCGACCAAGACGGCATCGACCGATTAGTCGACTAAACGACTAAAGTTGACAGCCCTACAAACATTATACATGTTTACGCAGAGAAAAATCCCACCCAGCTGCTTTTCTCATTATTTTTTAAAATGAGAAAAACATGCCATTTAATATAAGCATTACATCTGAAGTAGATTTGAGTGTGCTGAGTATATCAAAACACTAATGCAATTCATGCTGTACTGTCATTTATATTCTGACCAAGTTAATGTTCCAGCTACTTTAATATTCGGTGTCCTTCAAACACAAGATAATGTCTGAACATACAGAACTAAGAAGTATTTGAACACTTAATTTATTGAATGTCATTGCAATAAATAACAGTCTCAAAAGCAGGTGTCATTTATTTTAAATTACTAACTTTGCAATCAAAACTTGACAAAAAGAAACCAATAGAACTAGTTATGAATAGTTTTTTTTTTTCAGGATACCTTAAAAATATATATTTTGTGTTCGTATTACAGTGTACAAAAGTTAGTAGTACAAAAGTATAGGTTCCTATAGCTGGCCATTAGGGCTGTGTATCACCAACAATGTCACGGTACGATACGCATCACGATACTAAAGCCACGATACGATACATATCACGATACTAATGTCACGATAAGATACAAATCGCGATACTAAAGCCACGAAACTATACATATCGCGATACTAAAGCCACGATACGATACATATCACGATACTAAAGCCACGATACGATACATATCACAATACTAAAGTTACGATACGATACATATCACAATACTAAAGCCGCGATACGATACATATCACGATACTAAAGCCACGATACAATACATATCACGATACTAAAGCCACGCTACGATACATATCACGATACTAAAGCCACGATACGATACATATCACGATACTAAAGCCACGCTACGATACATATCACGATACTAAAGCCACGATACGATACACATCACGATACTAAAGCCACGATACGATACATATCATGATACGATACAGATCACGATACTGAAGCTATGATACGCATCACGATATGGATCAATTTGGAATTTAAATTTATTTTAAGCTGAGTTTAGGAACAGTATTATAACAGTTGAGATAACTGAAAAACAATTTAGTTTTTGTCATAAAAAACAATGGAGTTAAATAAATAAAAATGCTTAGAGTGTCTCTTCCTACTTTTAAAGTCTGCCTCAATATCTGAAATGACAATTATAGTGACACTGAAGCATGTCTACACTGCTCAATGACTAAACAAAACTGAAAACATTGAATAAAAGCAAAAACGGTAATAACTTAGTTTTCTCAAACTCTTTTAAACGCCTAGTATTTAACAATTTGGTCTTCAGTGTTGAAATGTGCACCAAACAAAGTCATTTCTTCTGCGTTGAAATCATTTTAAACGATAACATTTTCAGATTTTTATGCAGAAACAACAATTGATTGACATGCTCAGGGTGAAGAGAGTGACAGCAGAATATCTCGCTTAACTTCATCATACAACCGCAAATTGCCGTTTCTGTTTAAAACATTTACGCTTAAACATATTTGGTTCAAATTTTCTATTTGAACTATTTTCTATTTCCCTCTATTTATACTACAAAAACGCTGGATAAGAATATGAATTGAGACGCACCAACTGACTCTTCAAACATGAAGAAAAGTGAACATAAGTGAAGAGAAAAGATCCTGCAGATGCAGACACTTGCTTTGGTGTTTTGTTATCTGGCATATTGTGTATTGTGGCTTTAGAGGGGGGAAAAAACAGTTTGTGGTTCATAGATGAGCTAAAGAACATTTATCAAACACATGCACATCACAACACCACCTGCTGCACAAATAGCTATCACAAGACAGGAATTCAGTCCACAAATTCATTTCATCTCGCGGTCTGTCTCTCAGTGGTTTAGGTAAATGAATGTTGTGGGCAGGCTGGTGGTTATCTCCTCTCAGATTATCCTTCTCATGTTTGCCCCGCGGAGAGACAGCACGGATGGAGTGTGTTTGAGAAAGTCAGAAACTGTCTCACAGTTCACGGGAGACTAACTGACTCTGGCTGCGTGTTTGTTCCTCTACTTTCCTTTCACTTCCTGTTTGCTCACTCATCCCTTCACTCCCTTGCTCACGCTCACGAGCTCTGATGTTATCCTGTGGTGACAGTTTAGAGCCCGCGGGCATGACAGGTCAGCCATACACTCAGAGACAACTGTGTGTGTGTATGTGTGTGTGTGTGTGTCATGTCGAGTGAGGACATCAGCAGGACAGAGCAGACAAACAAAGTAAAGCTGACAGATAAACTCCCAATGACACAAACACACACACACACACACATCACATGCTTTGAATGCAGGATTTCCTCACAGCCACTGAGCAGATAATAGCCTTAATTAGCATATAAAGAGAGAGAGATTCGTGTTTTTTTCCCCCCAGGAAACATCTTAAATGCTTACTTCACACAAAAAAGAAGAAAAAGTGGACCCCACAACTAGTCTGCCAATTATTGCCAGACAAATTGTTTAAAATAATTTTGGAAAACACTTTTATCACAATAATTTCTGTATATTTTTAGGATGTTCAATTAAGCAATTTCTCATAGTTTATTTGTTGTCCTTTCTTTTATATATTGACCACTAGGAGTTGCTGAAAGTGACGCACGTAAAGTGGTGAGATCTAAGAGGGTGAGTTGTTTACTAACTATCTTCCCTATAGCAGCATCACTTTCTTCATTCAGACGGAATCAAAAATGTGCATGAAAACAAGAGAAAGGATTTATCATAAAAAACAAATCATAACCGATCATGCATTGGAGGCATTGCCTCCTCTTATGTGACTTTCCCCATTCATTCTCAATTAAATCAAACCCAGCGCACGCTTTAGGGGTTCTGTTCACACTCAATGGGCTCAGGTGAGGCATGAGAGACGCAGCGTCCCACTGTAACTTTACCTGCGGGTATTGCGGGTATCGTGTGTCTTAAGATTTCTTCTTGAGATTTATACACTTTTTAATGTCACATTATGTAATATTGATTATTTTCTCATCTAATTATTTTGGAGGAGATCCCTGCCTCTCTTGACTTCTTGGAGGAAACACCCCTGATATATATATATATATATATATATATATATATATGTAGGGAGAGAGCGAGAGAGAGAGAAAGAGAAAGAAAGAGGAAGAAGAAGAAGAAGAGAGGTGCATGTTACTAAACAATAAGTTTTGCTAAACTGTTGAACTTACCTCAACCTCCTGAACAAGACAGCAGGAAAAGAGAGAGAAAAAAAAAGATCAGGTTACCAGTGACCAAATTATCAAGAACCAAATGCAAGATACTCAATATTAATGATTCTTGTTTGTTGTTTTTGTTGTTGCTGCATTAAAAAAAATATAGTAAGTAATCACAATCGTATTGTTGGTCTCATGTTTACAGATGTGATGACATTCAACACAACAGAAACCTTTACCCTTTACTTTACTTTATTGTCCTTGAAAGGTAATTTGGTATGTAGACAGCAGTATACATACAAATACAGCAACACACACACACATACACTATAACAAATAACTAATAATAATTCCTTTAAAAGTGTGATTGCAGCAGGTATAAAAGGAATTCTTCTATCTACACAAAGGGAGTTTGAATCTCCGGCCTGAGGGAAGCCATTGGAAATCAATACACAATGGGTGGCTAACATCAGACAGGACTAACTGGCCCTTCCTTGCCACTCTTTGCTCATAATAAATACATTTGTATAAGAGTCATTAAGTAAGTTCAGAGTCAGACAGATTCAATAAAACAGGTAAAACTCATTTTCAATCATAAAAGAGACATCCATATTAAAAGTACGAAGTTTCCTCAGAAAACAAATGCGCTGAAGAGCTTTCCCTCTGATAATGTCAGTGTTTGCCTCAATTTTATTTACTGTATCATCAAATACTGTCCCTGTGTATAACGTGCATTAGACAACACACCATCAACACGTACTCTTTGAGATCTATTAGTTAAAAAAAAAAATCACCAACACACAATGTTCAAATGAAAATTGGCGATACGTTTTCTTACCAAAATGTGGGGCTAAACACAGTTAAACACAAAAGTAAAATCAATTAAACGCAAATGTACATGATTTTTTTGTACTTTCCAAGAAGAGTCTCCTGATCTAGATGCAGTTTTCAGAGAATCAAGTGCTGATTTGTTTCAAGGCCGAAATCTCCGGTAAGACTTTACTTGAAAGGGTGCGCATAAGACTGACATGACACATGTCATGAATATGAAGGAGGTGTTATGCATGTTCATGACAACTGTCATTAAGTGTCATTCGCTCAATTATTCAATTTGTAATGCAAATATGACACTGATTGAGATGTCTTTGTTATGACAACTTAACAAACCAATACATCATAACCTGTCAGTGTCATGAGTCATGACAACTTGAAATTACTAAAACAACATAACCTGTCATAAACATGACATAGCAGATTAATTATCAAACTTAAGAATCCACAGATTAATTATCAAACTTAAGAAACCACTTAGCTTTTTGGGTAAACATTATATTAAAACTGCCAGGTGGTTGGTTTTGACATTGGCTTTCATGAGGCCATTATAAAATTTTAATTTAAGACATTTCAAACAATGTCATATTTTCTTTAAAAATGTCATAATTGAGAAAATGCCACTTAATGACAGTCATAAACATGCATAAAACCTCCTTCATATTCATGATATATGTCATTTCAGTCTTATGCACACCTCTTCAAATATTAAGTGTTACCAAATCTTCTTCCAAACTATTTTTTTTTTCAAAAGACTTCATTACTAGTGCAACAGGCCCATAATTATTGAGAAAATCATTCTTTTTTCATAACTGGCACTATGGAGTCTTTCCAAAGACGAAGGACTTTCAGCTATACTAATCTGAAATTGAACGGTAGTGACTGAAATGACTGAATTCCTGCAATAACAATTCTGATTATCTCATGATTATCAAATCCTGAATTAAAATCATCTTCAAAGTCATAACTGATTAAACTGATTTAGGCAGACAAGGCTTAGACTAAGCCAGGATTAGACATAAGTTTAATTAGGGCATTTAATTAGCACCGTGCCTTAGAAAAAAAAAAAAAAAAACATTACTGGTGTGCATCTTGTGACAAAACAATGTAATACACACGTTCATCAGCTGGTTTTCAACTCAATCAAACTTGATTATTTCAAGCTAATGAAACATCAATCAAAGAGAAACACACATTCACTGAGTTTGCAATATTGGATCCAGAATACACACAAACACAAGCATTCGTCCACACAAAAACACACACCCAGGGTTACTTCATGTGTAAAGCGATACAGGATATTATGAGAGAAGACGTGTAATTCTGAAGGCATAAGAGTCACAGCACGCAACGGAGGAAGAAAACAATAACAGCGACACACAGACACATCTCAGAGAAAAAGATATGATCATTATTAATAAATACTTTAGCTCTGAGGTCTTTCACCTAACAACTTTTGTTCTAGCGGCTGATGAAATGTTTGGAATAATACAATAAATCATTATAAGGACCTTAAACATAGAGGAGGAGCTTGCAATGACAAATGCACACAACAACAACAACACTATATAGTGTATCTGCGTGTGCAATGTATGCGTTTGTTGTATCTTTATTGTATAATGTAAACTACTGAATGTGCTATTCAAACAGAAAGTTGAGACCGGTTATATCGAATAGTTTAGCTCTTTAGCAAATAGCCTTTAGTTTACGCTATAGCATTGAACTACGTATTATTTGCTACTTTTAATCACAAGTCATAAATGGGTTGTTTGATTTCACTACATCCACTTGACATTAGTTTTACACCTGCATTAGTTCATTGTTGTTGTTTAATGTTATCAATGGTTTATTGATATGCATCAACATGCACATTAGCATGGTTACCAAATGATTTCATTATAAAACCTGTCGTTTATTCAGACAGCATTCGCCTCTTTAAACCAAACATGACATCGTTCATTTGAGAAAATCCCTCAAATCCTGCCCTAATTACACTGAACCACTTGTTCACACTTTCATTTGTATTTTGGAGTGTGAGCGTATACAGAAAAAAACACAAGTAAAGAAATTAAAATGACATTTGCATTCAAACCATCCAGATCGATTTGAAGAGGCAATTTTTCAATCCGATTAATTCTTTATTTCTCTGTATCCACACTGTTTTGGTCATTTGAATGTTAATTGCTTTGGTTTAACTAACTCTATTAATTCTTTGAAAATCCATCTAAATACTGTCAAACTCAGTCACAGTTGACTGAGTTTGATATGCTAATCTATCACAAACATCACAACCCATCAGCCCAGCTCTTCTCATGTGCTCTGCTTTTTCCTTTCTTTTCTCATTGTTTCCTCTCACTTCTCCATCCCAAAGGGGTCGAGGATTGGCTGGTTAGCACCTCACTGTATAAATAATTCAGTGAAAGTTTTTGTAAAACTCAAGTTTTACAGATTGAACTGAAATTTAAATGAAATAATGGTTACACCAAATTTAGTTTTTTTTTCTTTTATAATATACTATACATTATTATAAGATGATCTGCTATGTTTCATTTCTTAGAATTCTTACATTATTTTTTTGTGTAAAATTATACGAAATGTCCCAGTAGATCTATTACAGTTTTCACCGTATATAATAGGGGTGTAAAAATTACTCACGGTTTCTTTATAAAAATAAAGAAAATAAGAACAAATAGTTCAACTATATGCAACAGCACAAATGAATAGATTAGAGCAAAGATCACATTAAATAAACAGTGCTTTTTAGGCAATTTAGGTATCTAACAGTAATTTTCAGGTAAAGAAATTTAATAAAGTAATCAAATGTTAAACAACACTGCATATAATCTTCACTGTATAAATGAAATGAGCAGTGAGTGATTTCCTTGTCTTTTGTTGTTTGATTAACATTAAAACACATACAGACAGCAGGAATATTAGGCTGCTGCCACTTTAAGACATATTAATGGATGGATCCAGTACACCGATACTGTGCACATGCTTATCTATTGACAGAAACGTACATTAGTCTGACTCTGTCTGATTTATTTATTTTCTAACAAATCATATCATTAGATGCGTATGCATCATCAGATTTGAGCTGAACTGCGGTGTAAGAGCATGCCAAACCATGGGTGGAGATTTTTTTACCAAGAACCATTACAGTATATAGTAAGTGAACTTATCGTTAATAGTTAAGTAAAAATTCAATAAAATCGTAAAAAAAAAAAAATTGACTTTAAATGAACTGACATAAAATAAATTATTTTATTTTTCATTTATTTTAATTGTATGTACTAAAATAACTAAAACTAAAGCTGAAATAAAAATGAATAAAAACTAAGTAGATATATAAAAAAAATGACAAAAACAACACATTTTCTAAAACTTTTAAATTTAAATGAAAACAAAAAATATGTATTTTTACATAAACTGTAATATATTAATGACAATGAATTTTTTTCATAGCATTTTTACCGTTTTTTTTTTTTTTTTTTAAATGTTTATTTGTAATTACAATCAGTTTTACTGTGCGGTAATCCCTTAATAGCTGAACATCTGTAACTGAAAGCCTAAGAGCAAAGCTGACAGCATGAGATGTACAGGAATGCCAACAGATTGCTTTCTCCAGGTATTACATTACTGAAGGTGAAACCCCTAAAACACTCTTACTGGCAGGAAGGAAAGCCAAAGGATTGTGGGAAATGCAGTAATGAGGGGCCTAGAGGTTAACAACTCAGACATGAGAAATTCTAAAAGCGTACACAGTCTCTCTCTCTCTCCGTTTCTCTTCTGGTGTTGTCTCAGAAAAAGCCCAAGGCTCTCTTCTGCTGAAGCATATCAAAAAAACAGAAAGAGAGGTTCAAAATGTACAAGCAGCTGCCAGCGGCATCTGATGCGTAAACTTTACAGCATCATCAGAGAGAACATAACGGCCTGTGTAAAGTTTACAAGTCCCGCCGGAGCACAAAAACCAGGAGGAGAGAGTGATGAAACGTGCTTAATGCCACCAACGGGGCCTGTTTATAAGGGATGTGCAGTTTTGTCATTTTGACTACTCAAGTGACAGATAAATAAAGCGAGTACTCAGGGGTTTTGAGAGGACGGGGCGAGATCCATCTGTGCATTTTTTTTAAATTGTTGGACTATGCAGACAAATCAAACAGACATCTATTTTGGCTCTAGCAGGGCGTCTC